GATTTAAAAAATATTTTTAAAAACCATTATAAATGACTATATAAATGCATAGTATATATAAACAAATAAAATTTCACATATAACAATTGTGTGTATGGTTTGGTGGTTACAACTTACAAGCATAGACAAGTTTTTATATTTATAGTTCCAGGCTTAATATAATTTTATAAAGATTTAAAAACCTTTTTATAAAGATTTTAAAACCCATTATAAATGACTATATAAATGCATAGTATATATATAAAAATAAATTCTCACATACAACAATTGTGTGTGTGTGGTTTGGTGGTTACAACTTACAAGCATAGACAAGTTTTTTATATTTATAGTTCCAGACCTAATATATTTTTATAAAAATTTAAAAAATCTTCTTAAAAACCATTATAAATGACTATATAAATGCATAGTATATATAAACAAATAAATTTTCACATACAGCAATTGTGTGTATGGTTTGGTGGTTACAACTTACAAGCATAGACAAGTTTTTTATATTAATAGTTCCAAGCTTAATATATTTTTTAAAAAATTTAAAAACCTTTTTATAAAGATTTAAAAAACCATTATAAATGACTATATAAATGCATAGTATATATAAACAAATAAATTCTCACATACAACAATTGTGTGTATGTGGTTTGGTTGTTACAACTTACAAGCATATACAAGTTTTTAATATTTATAGTTCCAAGCCTAATATATTTATATAAAGATTTAAAAGCTTTTTTAAAAACCATTATAAATGACTATATAAATGCATAATACATATATAAATAAATAAATTCTCACATACAACAATTGTGTGTATGGTTTGATGGTTACAACTTACAAGCATATACAAGTTTTTCATATTTATAGTTTCAGGCCTAATATTTTTTTATAAAGATTTGAAAACTTTTTTAAAAATCATTATAAATGACTATATAAATACATAGTATATGTAAACAAATAAATTCTCACATACAACAATTGTGGTTACAACTTACAAATATAAAACTTTTAAAAGAAGTTTTTAAATCTTTATAAAAACTAAACAATATTCAAACAAAGAATTTTGAATACTTGAAAGGCCGTATAACTACTAAAGCTGGTTATATATTTTTTCATTAGACTTTGCAATAATCACTAAACCATTGTATATATGAGTCTAGTTGTTTATAAAAAATATATATTACTCATTTATAAAGATTTAAAAGATGTTTTTAAATTTTTATAAAAGAATTAAAGACCTCGATAGCACGACACAACATATATAGCCCCTTTAGAATGTTTTATTAACATATTAAAAACTATAAATAATTTGTGAGCGTGTTGATTATTGCCAATGTATATACAAAACATGAGAACTGAAGCTTGATCTCATCAATTTCTCATTCAAAAAAAGAGTAATGACATCATAGGAGATGACAAATCATGTCACACCCACCAACTTTGCAGTGATAGCAGTCACATCTCCATGAAAAAAGCTCATGAATTTGCAGGGATGATTTCTCCTGGTATCATTCCAAATATTTTTGAACTCACGAGGGCATCTATATGGCGTAGAGAGAAATCATTACACCTGCAAACTCAAACTAAAAAACAAAGCAAAAAAATAAGAACAGCAGAAAAGTAAGTTCGTTGGGTACTCTCTTATATTGTATAGATAATACTCGAAAAGAAATAGACAATCAACTTAGACAGTGCAATAAGAGTAAGAAAATCTCAACCTTACATGCTACTTTCTTGTTTTTGGCAGGGGCAATTTCTAACTGTCAAAAGTTGGTACCTAAACTCTTAAGACTTGATTGCTCCTTCTAAATCTGACGCCAAAATTAAGATCAAATGTATTGCCTCAGTCTCTAGTGCTGAAGCAAAGCTTGCAACTGCGGATTCCTTGTTGTGGGATCCTGACATGGATCAATGATGTCAAATCTGATGTTGTACGTTTGAAACATGTCCTCTTGCTTCACTTTTAACCTGGAATTTTTATCCACATGGAAATAAATGTTTGTTTCATTCGAACCTTGTCCTGCTTGTTGTAGTTGCCGCTGCTGAAACAAGAGTTGCACTGAATCAGACCCATCAAGAACTAATGAACTCAGATTGTTAATGGTATTCAAGGAGAACGACATTGGTGATACTGGAATATGCATATTATTGATGCCACTATTCCAAATATATTGCAACTAATGAAGGAATTAAAGAGGATACGAGTTTATATACCTACACATAAAAAAAAAGGATCAGCTACAAAGTTGCTTGGGAAACTAGAATTTGTCATGAAAGCTTATGTTCTGGGTCAGGCACAAATACACGTAAAATCAATTTATAAAACATGTTATAAGGATTGATAAACTGATTCAAAAGAGGAACATTATAACCATAACTGCTTCTATCGTGTGTTCTCCATCATGAGGGTCGTTGTCTAAACCAAGCATTCACACAAACAAAGCCGCATGGTTATCACTTACACCTGACAAGCTTTCACACCACATTTATTCACCAATCTTAAACTAAACTTATACGCCAGCAAACAAAGAGACATAAAGCATTAGCTTAACACTAATCGAATTTTAGTTTCCAATATTACACAATCAGAAGTCAATAGAGGGATTTCCAGAAGCAACATAACCTTTTTCTATGGTATCGTGGTGTCCATATTCTCCAAAGTGGGCACTATTAGAACTCAAATTAGGCTTCAGAAAAACCATGAAACTAACCACGTCTTGTTGATCTGGTTCAAATCAAAAGAAATCGCAACTTTAGATAAAACGTCTTGGTTTTTGCGATTCTCTTCCTTCATATAGCAAGCTCCAAATCTGTGTGGGAGAAAAAAGAAGACTTTTTATTGTTCACCAAAAAACCTAATTAAAACCTCGTAAGCTCTTTTTTTTCCAGTGTGCAGGTCGGAAACGGATGCTCTCATCGCCCGAAAGAGAACGAGGAAACCAATTAGAAAACACAATGAGAACAAATCGAAATTACGAGTGAAATCAGCTAGGAAGAAGATGAAGACGAGGAATCTAGGATGAAGCACGGATCGAAACTCCCACAAACCCCCGATCAAAACTTCAGCAAAACACGGATTTAAACTCTAGTAAAGCTTCGAAGGCAAGTTCTATACGTAAATCTAAACACTAAAATTCTCAACACTAAACATAAATTCGAACTTCAAAATCAACTTTCAATGATTCTTACTGGATTCCGATCAAAATCATAGCAGAAGAAGTTGAAAATCGCGACCACGATGATAAATCATCGACTCTAATTTTTTCAATCTGAAAGTTTTTCTTTGATGAGCAGTGTCGTGACTTTGGCTGTAACTGTTGACCTAATGAATGGCCTTTTCATTCCTTAAAAATTACACCATTTAAAATGAATATATTGTATTTATAATTCCTTTTTATTTTTTATATTTTAGGAAATTATAATATTAATATATTCTTTATAAAAAATGAGAAGGAACAATAATTCTTATTATTTTGTTCTTTTCATTCCTTTTCCTATTCATTCCTATTATTATTTTTATAGTCACCAGTTAAAATCTTTGTTCTTCTTTAATAAAGTTAGATTGGTCATTGTCTTATTTATTAGATGGTATAATTGAAATTGACAAAGACTCTATTGTATATTTAAAATGTGATACTTCTAGTGTTATAGTTTTGAAATTTTCCCAATAATTTTTTTGATATTAAAAATATTTTTATTCGATCAAAAAGCTAAGAGTTTATAAATATTAACTCAGTTATATATAATTTTAGATAATTTATTAAAAAAATTAAAGTTAAAAATATATAATCTACTTTTATATAATCTCTAAGTATATATACTATTTAAAATAAAATTTACAATAATTTACTTTTTAAAAAGGTTGATATTTTTATGATTGTAGTCTTTGTGAGTTAATCTAAATAACTTAGGTTTTAGTAATAAAATTATGATTGGTGGGACACTTTTTATGATTGTAGTCTTCACATTCATATACAAATATATTAAATCAATTATAAAATCTTAATAGTACAATTATTCAAATCGATGTAATTAGAAATAGTTACAAAACACTGTCTTATAACTAATTACAACTACAGAAATCATTACTAATACATACTGTATTTTACAAATAGATAGACGTATGATTAAGTCCATTGAAAAATATTCAAATAGCTTTGAAGACCAATCTATGCTTTTATATGTAGATTTATTATTAAAATGTAATTATATTTTAGATAGTATTTTTAAATTAAATGTTTTTGGAATCAAAAATTGTTCTTTTTATTTTACAAAAAGAGTTATTTACATTAATTTATGATTATATTTATTGATTTCCAAATCAAAAACATAAAAATTGTGTATTTTTTTAATTCATATGGAAATGCTGAATCATGGGATATAAAAAATATGTAAGATAACTTCACATTTCTACCTAGATAGCACATGGTATTTAATTTTAAAATTAATTTACATAATAATTAAATTATCTTATATTTCATCAAATAAACAGCATAATATTATATGAAACTCATATAAAATCAATTTCATTATATTATTTAATTTTAAAATTAAAATAATTTTATATAAATAATTATAATTACTTAGTATTCTCTATTTTCAAAACTGTATAATATTTTCTTCTGATTCGAGTACAATGAATAAATCATCCGAAGAAAATGACAAGTTCAAAGAGAAATCCCTCTTGGAATATGATCATGGTTTGTTATTGATTCACGTTGAAAAGGAGAAGGCTTGAGACCTCTGATTCATAACACAATTGACGAGTACGAACGTTAAAAAGAGAATTCCGGACGGGTACTGATTGAGTCCGAACACCCGTCATGGAATGGACAGTCCTAGTCCAAAAGGACAACGATGTTATCAGACAGCCTCTAAACACATTTGGGTACACATATAAAGACAACCAAAGTTCAAAAAGTCATTAACATACTTTCAGTCTATGTGCGTAGGATCAACGTAATCACTTATCAAGAAACCCTTCTGCTGAAAAAACCTTGCAATCTTCTCTAATCAAGCTGCTTCGTCCAATCAAAGTGTTCCCATTTGCGCGCAAAGCTCACAACCGCCTTCTTCTGGCTCTCCACCGACTCCAACCTTCTCCGTCTGTACATATCTTCTTCCGGCAACTCAAGCATTCCTCTGATTACATTCAATCCAAGATTGCTATTAAACTGTTCCTCATCGTCAATCACATGAGCAAACCCTTTGTCTAGACCAAACTCAACGTGGAAGTAAGGAAAGTTCTTAGGTATAGAGTTCCTTAGACCCTTCACGCTTGTGTCTATCAGCTTCTTTGCATTGTGCTGACTCCACTCACTCTCAGCTTCATCTATCGCTTTCTTGAAATACATAGGACCTTCTTTAGCTATCTCCTGGGGAATTGGTATACAATCGATTATACAGTGACGTCGTTGCTGAGACAAACCAATCACTGTCTCCAGAAACACAGCGTCTTTGCCTTCCTTAGCAAACATCATTATAAGACACTTCTTGAAGTTCCGAATCTCGTCCCAAACATTGTCGTCAACACTTCTGCTTGCTGCCTCGTGCTGTGACAGTCAAAAGAAACACTCATCAATAGAAGAAGAGTGAACAATGAAGAGAAGGTACTTGAAACCGTTTATGTTACTTCTCTCTATATCCTAAACTAGGCTTTCATTTCTCTCTATATACCACCTTTCTTGTGTACTCAAAGATTGAACAAGAAGATGAATCTAGAAGAACAGAAGCAATTAATGATATAACACAGAGTTTCTTTCTTTAGATATGTACCTGCATTGGTAAGATACAGCAATGGCCTGGGACAAGTGGCTGTTGTTGTGGTAACATCAGATAGGTGAAGTTTGCGATTGATACAACCAAGTGTTTAGGCCGTCTCGGGTTCTCGAAACAGAAGAGACACCGTTCTTGTTGAGTCAAGATGCGTTTCACGCGGTTATTATCCTTTTCAGGAATGTTTGATTCGCGCTTACGGGACTTTTTGCTTGGAGCGTCTCCATAGTCATACTCATCATCAGCAGCTTGGTTAGATGTTTTGTACTGTTTGTTCTGCATTATGCTTTTGGCTAGATGCATATCCGTATTATCATCTTGATTCCTTCTTCGACCCGACATATCTTTGGTAGGATACCTAATGAAGTAAGAAGAGGAATTATAATATGACACAGAAAGAAAAGGCCTAAAGAGCTCAAGAAATCAAAGTAAAGTTACCTCGTTGCAGTTCTAGTGAAGTGTTCTTTAGATGAATCGTCTCCAACAGCTTGCTTTGCTCTCAGCCTCTCTGCTTCTTCCTGTGAAAATCAAGAGACTTCAATTTAGAAAATCAAGAAAAGGACTTAAGCACAAGGCAGAGGCAAAGAAATTCGTCTCACCGTAAGTTTCTGAGCTTCTTCAAGTTTCCCTTTCATACGAAGCTGCAAGGCTTTAGCAGCAAGTTGATTTACACTTAAAGATTCAAAACCGGGAAGAGTCGTCTCTTCACCGTCCTTCTTGCTGGTCTCTGACGGCAATGTTACACTCTCCACATCGCTTCTGCCTTCTCCACGAGTCTCTACGCGAGAGACTGATTCGTTACTCTGCTTTGAAAGCATTTCCTTCATGAAGTTACCATCATTAGAAAACTTATTCAAGTGAGCCGCAGCTTCAGATATCAGCTTTGAGTCTTCGTTTCTATGAGTTTGGCTCTTTCTCTTTCCCCAAGATAACGAAGGGTCGGTTTTCGGAGCTTTCAATACACGATGACGCGGCGAATCATCCTTCAAATAATCCCGATCATTGCCCTTTAAACAAAACACAGTCACAAGGTCAAAAATTTTAGCCTTAAAGAACATCAGAAGTAACATAAATGGTTTCAAGTACCTTCTCAGAGACTCTTTCGGGTTTTTTCTCTTTATCATTCTCTTCATTGTTCACTCTTCTTCTATTATTAATGGCATTCAAATGAGCACGAGATGGAGCTGCTCGTTGAGATGCAACGGACTCAACAAGATTACCAAGAGAGCCCCATCTTTCTCCAGCAACCTGCATAGACCCTTGAAACGATAAGGCGAATACTCGAAAACGCGCCAAAGAGACTATGCTAAATCATAATAAGAAACTCTTACCTCCTCAAGCTTTTGCCCTTCTCTTGCAGCTTGTTCTTTTGCACGCTTGAGTGCTTTCATTCTCCAACTCGCACCACCGTCTCCAACAACAGAAGTCGGTAAAAGCCGATCTATACCGTGTCTTTTCTCGGATTCTTCCTCGGGATAACCGGATCCAGCGCCTTTCAAATAAGGATTTAGTTCCCTCGGGTTTACTTTCACCTCTTCATGTGTACTCTCCTCTAGCTTTTCCTTTACATCTAAAGCAATGTTTGGATCTGCCTTTCGTGTCGGCGCAAGCATCCAATCGAGACCCATCTTCTTTCTAACGATATCTCCTTCTACCAAGTCGTCTTTAGTCTCATCATCAACCTTCTTCTCCTTTCTCTTGCTACTTTCCTTTCTATTAACGTCCTTGTTCTTTCGTCTTCTATTAGATTTCTCCTTTTCTTCCTCGGAACTATCATCACGCACCTAAATAGGAACGAGACTAACATCAAACTCAATATATGAACTTTACCTAAAAAATTCAGGATAAAATGAAACTAGTAACTTTACCTCATCACGAGGGATGATCTTTATGCCAGAAAACATGTTGATAAATATATGTAGTAGGTCTCGTGAATGACTTCTTCCCGTTAAGGAATCAACAGAGAGTTCAAAGGTAGACTTAGAGACTACAACAAATAAAGAAAACATAGCAGACAAAATTAGGCTATGTCATAGTCATGAAATTGCAAAAGCAAAACAAGATCAAGTCTTTTTGAGATTCAATTAAAACCCATAAACCAACTTAATTCGAGGCGCAACTCGAAGACCAATAAGCAGTAGTTCGACACCAAATTGAAGAAGAAAATAGAACATAGATGGTTAATAAAGTTTTAAGAGTCTAAGAAAATCGAAGAAGAAAATTGACACTAGATTGAAGAAGGAAATCGACACTATATTCGTTGATTCTAGAGTTTAAGGGTCTCAAAGCAGAAGAAAATCGAACACAGATGCTTAATAAAACAAGAACAATCTACGACTATAGAAATAACATTTTTAGGAAACATACCGGAAGAAGAAGAGACAGCTTCGCCGGCGACGACGATTCGTTGATTTTAGGGCTGGAGAAGAAATATGAAAGAAGCTAAAAAAATCATAAGAAATAAAAGTCAGACATGTCAAAAAAAAAAGAAAAGGAGAGGAAAAACCGGGAATTACAAAACCGGACAAATTGATGAACCGGGATTCGACCTTAACCGGTCCATCATCTCCAAAGATTAAATAATCATCCTCCTTCGCAACGCACTTTCTCTTCCTCTCTCCTCCTACCCAGAAAATCGTCGTCTCCATTCTATTTAGGATCGATCCGTTTTGGGATTTGCTGCTAAAAAAAGTCTCTTCTTTTCTTGCAAGATTCGCAAGTTTTACCCAGAAAATGGACGCTGATTCCAAGAGACTCCTGTCTACGCTTCGATCCCGATCTGGTAAGCTTACCATGAAAAAATTAACCTCATTTCCTTCTTGGTATTGCTTATTTTACCCAAAAAATTTGACCAGTATGTAATTATAGTGATTCTTATTTTGCTAAATCAAGCTCGTAACTTATTAGTTTGATTCGTGAGGGATCAAGAAATGCTTAATATGCTTTTGGGTGTGCTGAAAAAAACCAGAAATTTCAATAAAAGTTCAATCTTTTTTATTCTTTCTTGCATAACTTTGATGAAACATCATGTATTCATGTTTTCTTGATTGTGCCAAGCTGAAAACTTTTCCAAATGTTTTTGATTCATGTGTAAGTGAAAGTGGTGTGCTTAATTTGCTAAATCAAGAAATGTATAATATGCTTTTAAGTGCTAAAAAAAGTCGGTAATTTCAGTAAAAATTCCAAAAAAAAAAAAATTCATACTCACATAACTTAGATTATATATTATGTATTCATGTTTTCTTGATTGTGCTAAGATGAGTTATATATTTGCTCTAGTTTGTGAACTTGTTGTGTTTATGGTACTGTAATAGTACTGTGAAAAGTTGATGCTCAAATCTATACCAAGAAAGGTGGGCCACTTCTTAGTATTCTTCATAGATTTCCTTAGTATGTACATAGGAGAGATAATATGATCGTTATGTATTGGTTATTTGGTTATAAGCTGTTTATTGTTATTAGAGGCTGCTTTGCTGCTGTATTGGATTTTTGGTTATTATACACTCTTTAAGTTTAGAATTTGGGTTAGAGTTTTGATTATATACTCTTGCAGTCTAGTTTTTCTCTTCTTTCATGTTGTTGTTCCTTGGCAAGATGAAAATGTTATTCTTTTACCAGTATCATTTTCGTAATATATAAGATCTTGTCATCTAAAAAACTGCAGAGATTTTAATGGGCTTTGAAGAAATAGATGGAGATGATGATTTCCAGGAGGAGTTTGCTTGCCCGTTCTGTGCAGAATCGTATGATATCATTGGCTTGTGCTGTCACATAGATGATGAACATCCTTTAGAGTCAAAGAACGCGGTATCTCTCTCTCTCTCGATGTTGATCAAATCAATTTGAAAATAGAAAGTTTATTAGCAAATGTGTACATTCCATCTTAATGAGGGAACTCATTATTTTGCAGGTATGCCCTGTTTGCTCTCTAAAAGTGGGAGTTGATATCGTAGCGCACATAACGCTACACCATGGGAGTTTATTCAAGATATCCTTTTTGATTCATTTTCTATACTTTACGGATTTTCTTAGTTCTTACCGTGGAATCACATTGCTCTGTTTGAGTTCCTTAATGAGTTCTTACATGCAGCGAAAGAGGAAATCAAGGAAAAACAGTTCAAATTCTACTCTTTCTCTTCTTCGGAAAGAGCTAAGAGAAGAAGATTTACAAAGGTTATTAGGACTTTCTTCTTCTCGTAATGGCTCTCCTGCTTCAAGTGGAACTCCTGATCCTCTTCTCTCGTCGTTTATCTCGCCTACACGATTACATTCAACTCCGGTGACACGCCAAACAAGAAAAGTATCTGAGGAGAAACAAAAGGAGCGGTATGGTTTCTATGTTTTGAGTCTCTTTTAGATTTCTAGAGTTTAATAGGTTTAGTCTTTGAGAAAAAGCTTTGAACTTTTTCAGCAAGAGAGTGGTATGCATCTCACCCGTTTCATCGAAAGATCGGGAAGAGAAGATGAAGAAATCAGAGTTTGTGCAGAGGCTCTTGTCATCAGCCATTTTCGATGAGGTCTAATGAAAGCAACTACAAAGATTGAGAATTGCAGAGGAACTAATTCCGCAAAAACAGAGTTTGAGAGAATCTGGTAAATACAAAAGCTATGTTCCTACTTGTGTAGCAGAACCACCGACACGTTTTCATCGGAATCTTGATCCAACTGTGTAGGTTTCGATGAAAAGAAGACGAAGAAGAGCGAGATGAAGCTGTGATATATATATATATATATATCTATGTATTGTGTATGTTTCAGTATAAAACCAGAAGAAGATGCTACTGAATAAATTCTGTAGAATTGTGTGTTTCTAAAGTTTATTAAGCCAAGAGCACTAAGGGTTTGGTTGAAGAAACGGAGGGATGGTTTAAGGAAGAAGAATAACTTTTCTTTCTGTTTTGAAAGTTTTATTTGCCAACATAACCAAATTGGGTTCTGCTAGGTTTATAAGAACAAATTATCAAATCCCCTTTATTGATCATATTTGATTACGATGATAGTATTAAGAACCTGATTGATGTACCAAACCTATCGATGTAAATGGAAAGATTTTTGATTTATCGAGAAATGATGGTGAGTTTGTTAATAAATGGAAGGACTCTTTTAATTAATCGAGATATAATGAGTTGATTACAGAACCGAAAGAGGAAGGTATAATGGAGTCAAATTTTTGTTGGATTGTCTGAACTAAAGGTGTATATCATTAAGATGATTGTTGAGATTTGATGCTGAGTTCTTGTCATAAAAATTCGGAAGGAAGTTGTTTTTGTCTTTGTAATGTCTAATTTTCATTGTGAGAACCAAGTTGCTCATTTGAGTAATTGTATTTGTGGGATTACTTTCTGTTTGAAGTAGATCATTTTTAGAAATAAGGACATGTTCATTTATAGAAAATATCCCGCCAACTATTCACAAATTACTCGATATCTTCTTCTTTTTTCCTATTGCATTTATACTACTAGTGATTGTACGCCTGTAAATGAGATAATGAGTATGTGCTATCAAATCTTTTTAATTGTATTGTTGTTATTATTAAGATAGAGTTACTACAGAAAACTCACATCTAATTTGCGTGTTTGATGAGCTAGTGTTCCGGTTAGCCACTTCTATAATCATTCTTATTTCGGTACCAATATTGAACGGTGGATGAATAGCATACATATCAATACTGCCGTCATTGAAATCAACCTTGTCAAACTGCCATCACGGCCGGTCCAACTATTTTAGTAATCCAAAACAAATTTTTTTTTTTTATATTTAAAAACATAAATTTGTTAATATTGTGGCCCAATAAATATTTTTTTTTAAAAATATATGGCTCATAAAGTATCTAAAATTATTAATATTATGGTCCAATAAATATAATTCTTTGAATATGTAGCCTATAAAGTATCTAAAAATTGGTGGTCCTAAACCCTTGCTTAGCGCCTACCCTCCGGACCGGGCCTGACTGCCATGCGATCACCTTTTATCATTCCCAAGTGAAGTTATAGTCAAGGCAGACCTTTCCATTTGATCCGGACGTCACATTGGTACGACTATCCAACACTTCCTTAGGCTCGGCCTCGGGAACCCTCTCCTTAGTGAGCTGTGGTGGAATCAAGGTTGTCGTATCGACTCATCCACTTCTTTTTTAAGCTAAGAGACGTGGAATGTGAGATGGATCCGAGCCTCAAGTGGTAAGGTTAGGCGAAATGTGACCGAAACGTGCTTCCACAGTGTAGGGGCCAAATAACCTTGCTGCCAACTTCTCATTACCTCGGCAAGCTAGAGTTATACGACGGGAAGGTCACATCTTCAAATAGACCTGTTCACCCACGCAGTGCCATGCCCAGGCTTTTAAGAGCTTGAGGCAAAACTCAAAATAAGTATTTTTTTATAAGTTTCTAAAATTATTTTAATCTAATTTTTTTCAAAAAATGTTAGTGTTAATAGAAAAAAATGGATAAAATTTACAAAAAAAAACAATATTTATGGTTATTGGTTTTGAACTTGTGATTGGAACCTAAAAACAGTTTTAAAAAAGGTTGAACCACTACATTATTATTAATTTTTTTGAAATAGATACCTTAAAATTACATATTATTTTTATTTTTAGTTACATGAGGCAAATGCCTTTTTGATAACACATTGAACACGGCTCTGCACCCACGAAATCCACCTATCTACGATAGCCATCTACCCACACAGGAGTTATACGACGGGAATGTTACATCTTCAAATAGACCTGATCACCCACACAGTGCCGTGCCCAGGCTTTTAAATGCTGGAGGCAAAACTCAAAATAAGTATTTTTTTATAAGTTTTTTAAATTATTTTAATCCAATTTTTTTTCAAAAAATGTTAGTGTTAATAGAAAAAAATGGATGAAATTTACAAAAAAAAACAATATTTATGGTTATTGGTTTTGAACTTGGGATTGGAACCTAAAAACAGCTTTAAAGAAGGTTGAACCACTACACTATTATTATATTTTTGAAATGGATACCTTAAAATTACATATTATTTTTATTTTTAGTTACATGAGGCAAATGCCTTTTTGATAACACATTGAGCACGGGCTCTGCACCCATGAAATCCACCTCTCTACGATAGCCATCTACCCTCCATTTCATGATCAGCTGAGCTTGCGAGAGATTCTGTCGAAGGAGTGTCACACTCAAATTTTGTAATGTTAATGTGATTCCAAATCAGCGTTCATTGAGATGGCATGAGAGGTGTTAAACTAACCTAACGTTTATTGTGCATAAAAGTATACATATTAGTTCTATCATCATGCTTAGTTTCTCTATCAATTTGCCATGGTTTACCTATCTATAAATGACCGGCTTGCATAGGAACAATATCACAAGTTATGTGATCTTAGTATCCATCCACATTGAATGGTATAGTTACTTCATCATTAACTTTAAGCTCTACCTTGTCATCAAGTCACTTTAACCTATAGAGTCATTGGTGTTTAGTTTTCTTAAAGTCTAGCTTTTCAACCATGTGAGCACTTGCAACATTGGTGCAAGAACAACCGTCAATAATAATGGTATATACCTTGATGTTAATGGTGCAAGGGGTGTAGAAAATGTTGTCCTTTAGAATGATATAGGCTGGTTCTAGCATTGCACTAAATATGCGTCTTGTGAAAAGAAGCTCTCTAGAGCATGGATACTTAATGTCTCCATATTCATTGGTCGGTTCAGCCTCATCTTCATCTTGAGATTCATAATCTCCATTTTTGGTCATGAGCATTACCCTCAGGTTTGGACATTCTCCTGCCATATGACCTTTTCTCTGTGATTTTTAAAACATGTTATGTCTCTAGCACATTTAAGGTTATTAGGCTTACTTGGTTATAGTTAGCTGTTTTTGGGGTTTCTAAAGATTTTCCTTTTTAACAAGAGTTAATCTTAATGCCTTTGCCCTTGTCTAGCAGCTTGCTTTCATTTGATGTCCAATAGGCTTCAGGTTTGCTCCTGATGTTGACTATCTTAAGCTTGATGTGTTGTTAGGCTTGAATAGTGATGTCTCTATATTTTACACCTTTTAAGCCTTTATTCATGATAGTTTTTAGCTTCATTCATGCATCTTTCCTTTAGTTTTAGTTTCATTTGCATCCATTCTAGGTTTAGTATGCATTAGGTTAGATATTGCATATTTGTGCATGTTTGAAATGGTTATTAGGTACTTTTGGAGTGGAAGATACTTGGTGGACTGATATCCTGCTATATTAAAGCATTTAGACTGCATTTCATGCATTTTTTCTCTTGTTTTTGCATGTTAGTTTAGCATTTTAGTCTCATTTGCACTTAGAATCAACATTGCATGCATTTAGTTTAGAATTGCATACATATGCATACATTTGCATGTTTGTGGTGTTTCTCAGGTGTTTTTGGAGGTTCTTGGAGTTTGGGGAGGAGATGGAAGCAGCTAATGTTCAAAGGAATGCCGAAGAAGGAGATTTGCCAAGTCTGGTCCTATATCGAGATAGTGTATCGAGCAAAACCTCCGTGTAGTCTGCCTGATGCAAGCCAAAATGCATGAAGAAGTGGTCTGATTCGTGGAGCCTAAGGTGCTGTCTACATCGAGGTGCTACATCGAGCAGGGAAAGCAGGAACAAGCCGATACAAGCTGCACAGACCATATCGGGATGGTGCATCGAGCAGAACACCGTCTGTACCACCCCGATACAATTTATCCGCGTGTTTGACCAGATTTTATAATTGACTTTATCCTATTTTTAGGTTTTTCTTTCTTTTTTGGCTCCCTACTATAAAAAGGAAGCCACAAAACTTTGTCATGATGTCATCTTGATTCTAAATCTTATCTCTTGCTTAGCCAAAAAGGACGATTTGCCCCAATCTTGTAAACACTTTTATTTTCTTCAATTAAGTTTGCATTTTTATGGTTTAATCTTGTCTTCTGATCTTTGATTTAGAATCTTGGTAGTTAAGTTTTCATTTATCTTCCATTTAATCTCATCTAGTAATGTTTAACTCTAATCAAATGGGATTAAATATGATTACTGAGTAGTTTACCTTAGATTTAGGATTCTAAGTATGAAAAGTGGTGATTAAGATGTGATTAAGGGGTGATTAGGCTTGATTAGTTGTTCTCTGTTGTTTACTTCTCTTGCAAAGTGATTATTTTTCGTAAAGCTTCTCCCTTTTGATTGAATATGGTATTGTTGATGCATATGGTTCACTTGATGGTTTGAAGAATTGGTCTTTGCATGATTCGCCTATTTTGATTGATAGTCTTAGCTTGGTCTATGTTTCTTTGTTCAGTGACACCAAAGTGATAGTTCACCTTGCTAGATGAGTCGCTTAAGATAGTGCATGATTTGAGATTCTTGCTTGATGGTTAGATAGTATGCATTTTAAGAACATGCTTTTGCTTGAAGTCCTATTCATTGCTAGACATTGTTAGGATTCACATTTGTGAGCTTAGTTCCATGTTCTTGATTGGTGATTAGCTACTTAGGTCCCTATATGGTTAAAAAGATTGATAGGGTGATCTGAATTCTTGCTTG